CTGATCTCTCCGGTCTTGGCCTCGGCCACGGCGTCGGCCTCGGCGGACACGGCCTCGGCCTGAGTTCCATCGGCCTCAGCCAGCACGTGATCTCCCCGCCCATTGCCATAAACATTTGTTGTCTTGTCATATCGTCTTCATGTGTCGTTATTCACTAAAATAATAAAAAAAAATATAAAAAAGATCACTATTTCAGTGTGTTTGTATTGATCTCTACCACTCACACTCACCCAGAGCACACATAACGTTTCAATGTAAGTATTATTGCTGAAATAAATAGGGTAAAAGAACCTGTGAAACACCACAAATTTGAAGGAGATGGCTTTGCAGTGCTCAGCAAGCTCTGCTCTGATGGCTGTAAATCAGCTCTCTGGCGAGCTGAGCGGCGGACATAAAATGCCAAAGGTCACGCCACACGACAACGAACACAAAAAAAAACGCATGCACAAATTTGCGTTAAAGTAACATACCTGAAGTCATAGTTTTCCGATTGACCAGTGCGTCAGGGGCTCCTGAAAAACCCAAAGAAAAAAAGTATTAAGACTTGTAAAATTTGTCACTGCTAGTCTTTCATTCATAACGTGTCATCCAGAACAACCATCGCGCAATCGACATTCAAAAATGTTCCACCATTGACGCAGAATCTTTGGAAAGGAACACAAAAAAATGGGGAATCCGCGTGGAACCACACACCCGCTGCCGCAGCGAAGCAGACTCCAGTCATCAAACAATGGAGCGCAATAGACTTTCTTTTATCGCCCGCGATAATTGTAGCGTTAAACGATTGTTATACACCGAGTCCTGACGCAGAACGCCCCCCACCCCCTCCTACCTCATCGCGGTCTCTTCCTTGCTGCCCGCACGCCGTCACCGTTGTGTCACATGAGGTAACTCTGGCTGGACGCCAAAGCGACGCATCAGCGATAAGAAAACAGCAATTACTAATATGCATTCAATCAGCCCCTTCAGTTATTCACACGCCAATGGTGCGTTATGAATTACGTTTTAGCAAGATCGTCGCAAAAGGACGGCGGCGAGGGGATTTCATCATGAACATTGTTTAACCACACCTGCGAAAATTTGTTTTCGGAATCAAGTGCCTCATTTTTTTTATGTTTTCACGTTTTTTATGCAATGAAATAAATGCGATGTGTCACAGAACATTGATTTTAGTGGACTAGAAATCTCATCACCGTGAAAATAATCTTCGTAAATTTAAGACATATTTTGTATTTGCGATTTACAAAATTTTAAGTAAATTTGCGACATGACATTCTTGCTCGTCGATGAATGAGTTGAAACACACATTGGGCTTGTTATTGTACAATTTTTAGTTTGTGATTTTACAACAAATATCATGGAAGAATTTTTCAGAAGCCCTGACAAGAACATTTTCATCGTTTAGAAACCAAGTTTGACTTGCGAAAAACAAGTCACTTTGTGCTCAAAACAAAGTAGGATGTTCGAGTGCAGCAAATTACCAAGTACCTTGCTCTCTGACTAAGACTTTTAGGGTGCACATTAATCAGTACGACGGGAATTCCTTTATCTCCGAGTATGGTCCACCCCCGCCTGAACGAACGGCAGTGAGGCGGCAGCCCCCACCACCCGGACGCGCGCCGCGGCGGCGGCAGCGCTGTATCAGGAAGCGACACGGACCGATCATAGTCGATAAATTGCACCCCACCCCCCTCCCTCCCTCCGACTAATGAGCTCTCAATCTCGGCCTTTGACATGACTATACCACTCACATTAACATTCAATATTTTAATTCTTTTTTTGTCGTCATGCTGCCGGCTAATGTCGCGTCCGACAATTAGAGCCGCGAGTGCGTGGCTGTGCGAGCCGCGCGAGCTGGTCACAGGCACGAAAAAAATAATAATGCCAGAGAGGCACACAAAAGGATTGGTTTGCGACTTTGTATGAGCCGATGGCAGGAATCTCCACGACAGAACTACTAAAAACACTACTCGATAACATAAAGTTCGAACTGACATTTTCACAAAAGGATATCGTTGCGAGATGGTGATGAATGTTATAAATAAACAAAAGTACAATCTAAAACATCTTATATATAACACATAAAATTTGTAGTGTGATTTCTCGCTTGCAAGCGATATTATCGTAAATCCGACCCAAAAGCATGGTACTTGTGCATAGCGAGTCCCTTCATTCACGCACACGCACGCACACTCACACACATGGCGAAGGCCGCACCGGTTCTGATTCCTTCACGACCCTCACGCCGACTTACTTTTAGCCGCGCATTAGCTTATTGGCGAGACTGGCGACGACGCCCCGCGATTCCGCGACGCCCTCCCCGCGACGCCCCCCGCGACGGCCCCCGCGACGACGCTTCCCCTCCAGTGCGTCTGGCCAGTGGCGTGTCCAAGGCCTGCAGTGCAGCGGTGCAGCAGAGTGCAGCGCAGCCGGCGCACTATAAAAGACTCAGGGGAGGAGCCTCGATGCCAGTCTCCCCGTGGACACCTCCTGCCTCAAGATGAAGTTCCTGGTAAGAGAGCCCCGAGCTCCAGAGTGTGTGCAGTGTGCCGAACTGCAGTGTGCTGGAGCGCAGTGTGCTGAAGCGCAGTGTGCTGAAGTGCAGTGTGCTGAAGTGCAGTGTGCTGAAGTGCAGTGTGCTGAAGCGCAGTAGGGTGAAGTCCAGTGTGCTGAAATGCAGTGGGGTGAAGTGCAGTAGTGAGCTGGAGTGCAGTGTATTGATGTGCAAGTTAGTGCCGTGTGGGTCGTCGTGTGTGCTAAACGGATGTCTCCTCGCAGCTCTGCACCCTCGTAGCCGTCGCGCTTGTGACGGTCCACGCCGAGGACGTGAAGGACTCGAAGGCAAAGGCGGAGACGCCCAAGGGGAAGCGAGGACTGGACCTCGGCCTGGGCTACGGCCTCGGTGGCATCTCTGATCTCTCCGGTCTTGGCCTCGGCCACGGCGTCGGCCTCGGCGGACACGGCCTCGGCCTGAGTTCCATCGGCCTCAGCCAGCACGTGATCTCCGAGCCCCACGTCACCCACGTCAAGACCATCACCGTCGACAGGCCCGTTGCTGTGCCCGTCGTCAGGACCGTCCAGGTGCCCGTGAAGGTAAAGTCATTGTCTTCCTCCAGTAGCCGCACGGAGTTTGGGACGACAGGCCAGGCTACTTAATGGCTTTGATCCTCTCTTTCAGGTCCCCGTCGCCGTCCCTGTGGACCGCCCCGTGCCTTACCCGGTCATCAAGCACGTCCAGGTGCCCGTCGACCGCCCCGTCGCCGTGCCCGTCGACCGCCCCGTCCCCTACCCCGTGCACGTGCCCGTCAAGGTGCCCGTCGCCGTTCCCCAACCCTACCCCGTCGTCAAGACCGTCCAGGTGCCCGTCGCCGTCGACAGGCCCGTCGCAGTTCCCCACCCCGTCCCCTACGCCGTCGACAGGCCCGTCGCCGTTCCCCACCCCGTCCCCTACGCCGTCGACAGGCCCGTCGCCGTTCCCCACCCCGTCGCCGTCCCCGTCGGCATCCCGCAGCCCGTGCTCGTCAAGAGCCACGGTATCGACCTGGGCCACGGTCTGAGCCACGGACACGGCTGGTAAGATCTCCGCCGCCGAGCTGGTCCCTCCTCCTCCCCGATTTCGATCTGACTTGCTTTATTTGAAATCCGGGAAAAGGAGAGCCCGCGTCTGAACGAAACAGTGTGCACCGCCTGTACAACGACCTGTCATGTGCCAATAAACGTTGTAAATTATTACAAAAAGGTCCTGTACCGTTCACTACTTGCCCCGCCCAGGCGGCCCAGCCCCCGCCCACCTCACTAGGGGTATCAGACATTGGCTTGTTTACTGCGAAAAGTGTCTCGCTCGCGAGGAATAACCTTGGAGCCCGGGGAGTCGGAGAGAGCGAGGGAGTGCGAGCGAGAGGCAGAGAGAGTGGACGGGAGTGAGAGAGCGCACGCGAGAAATAGGGGGAGGGGGAGGAGGGGGTGGTCTGGCAGTCCAGTGCAAGCAGGCAATGATGTGACTAGCATCCCAAGGCCAGGTGTTGGCAGCTCCGCTATGCACTTGCCACCGCCGTGCCGTTGCGCCCCGCCCTGCCGCCGCCGCGTTTACTGGGGCATACAAGGTTGATGCTTTCGCTGTTTAAACATTTAATCAGTTCCGCGTGTCCGCTGCGGGGCGCACGGCACGCACAGGTAACTCAACCTGACCCGCGACGCGGGGGCGTTTGTCGTGCCCGAGAATAAGATAATATTTGGAATATCACCGTCGGCAAAAAAGAAGAGAGACCTACAAATTGACTTCAAAATATTTTATTTTTGGGCCAAGATGTTTTGATTTTCTTTTTCTTCTTTAAGAAATTTAAGAAAATACGCATGGATATGTTGGTGCTCAATTAAACTTGTACACATGAACAACAACACATGTAAATAAACTAGTCTGCTCGACAGCCAGGAGGAGGGATGTTATTTCATTCAACCATCAGAACTGTGCGAACGAACCGCCCTATGAAACAAACGCGTGAAATCTTTGAACTTTTTTTGATCCGACAGCAGAGCTCATAACTTTATCCTCGGTATCGCACCGACATTTGGACGGACGACGGCCTCTGTGATAAACAAATTACGGAGCCGTTTGGCCGCCTGCCTGCCATCGGGGCGACAGCGGCGGCCGCAGGAGTTGGCAGAGAGCGGCGAGGTGATCAGAGTACGAGAGTGTTGGACCCGCGCGGGTCGCCCCGCGTCTGTACCGACACTTATTGGCGCCGTGTCATCTAGGTCGGTTCGCGGGACACCAGGGGCGGTGCCTTAAACCACGAGACTTTAGTGAGGGGATCCCAAGTACGGTATTATAGGGTTTCATAAGGGTCAGGACGGTCGTTGGTGACGATCAGAGCCTCAAGGGCCTCGGGTACAAATATCATAAGGGTCCTACGGGTTCCAGTGGCCGTCCTGGTCGGTCCTGGTACTTTCGTGACCCCATGATGATTGTACCCCAGGGTAGATATACCATTGGGTTCCCTATGGACTCCGTGGCCGTGCTGGTCCATTTTGTGACCCCGCGTGGTATTTGTACCTCCCTAAGGTCACGTGGTTTGGGCGCAGCCCCGCGCCGGCGCGCTATGGGAGGGCACACAGCAGCCTGGGTGTGGCCGCCAGCCAACGCCGCGCGTACATTACATCGGCCGCGCTCGCGTTTCAATCGCTCCGGAGGCGGCGGCCGCGGGGGGCTGTGGCTGTGGCGCCTAGCTGCTCCTGGCGCCGTGCCCGCCATCACCGAGCGCCATGAGCTCATGAGATTAATTGTGCGGAGGGCCGCGCGGCGTGCGGGTGCATCCTCGTCCGTCATGACCAGAGGCGGCGACGCAGCCGCCATGGCAGGAGGGGGTGACAGAACGCAAAGTACGCCATCTTTATTAGGGGGGGGGGGGTACGGTACAATACGCGAGGGGCGAGGGGCCCCGATCTGTTCCAACTCGGTGAAATACAGGCTTGCAGTGGGGTATGAAAGATGTTATATCCCCAAGCGTACCAGCAGGTGTAACATTTTCCTTGAAGAGCGAACTTTGCAAAAGTGCGGAAGAGTTAACCTTTACAAAGACGTATGAAGTATGCCCCCCCCTCTCCACACACACACACACACACACACACACACGCAAAGACAAAGGAATATAGGGCAAACAAAGAGTCACAGGAGGGTGATATATATGCTAGTTAGATTTGCGCTCCCAACCCCAAATACCTGACAAAGACAGTAGTTTATCATACAGCGATGTGGCTGCCATTTCCTTTCCGGCTTCCGTTGTTAATCCCTTCATCTTGGCGCTTGAGCGCACAGCAGACCTTTGGTGTTGGGTATTGTTCCCCGAACACGAGGACACCTAGTTTCGCCAAACAACTGAAAAACCTTACTACGCGCAGCGAGCCCGCCGGCCCGCCCGCCCGACGAACCGCGGGGGCGGCGAAGCTCGGCGCTCATCGGCACGCATTGTGTTGGCAACCCCGAGGGTGCGGTTGGCACGCGCCGGCCGCGCCCCTGTAGTGCGTGCGCACGGAAACGCGCGGAAGCGTCCCGTCACGCGCGCAGCGTGTTACGACAAGCGCGCGGTCATCGCGAAGGGAGCGCAAAAGGATAAACAAAACGATGGAAATGAGTGGGGAAATAATGAATAAGCAGCAGCATTATTTACACCGCCACGCTCCTCGGGTTGCCCCGGCGGCGGCGGAGGAAAATCCGACCCGAAAGTCCTGCAGCAGCAGCTGCCGAAGTTGGTGCTGCTGGCCGGGCGGCGCCGCGCCCGGCTGGACCGGGAAGGGATCGTGTTACCGCCATTACCATTATGCGAAAAGTGAGTCTCGAATAAACCAAACCCCCCCGCGGATAGGGTTGCAATTATTTATCTAGGAAGAACCCCCCTTGCTTGGGTCGCGGCGGCCCACACCCGCCCGGGCAAAGACGGGGATTAAACAACGTGTCAGAATGCGCTTGGCTCTTTTCATTTTTAACGTAAAAGTAAGTCAACAAAATATTTATTCAAGAAATTAACAGCAATAACAAAAACAAAAACTCAAAAAAAAGTTAAATATAGAAACAAGCAGGAGTAATACGACTGACCACACACGGTACAGGACTAGACGCGCGTCCCCCCATACAACAAATTCAAGCAAAACAAAAAATACTCTACGCAGCATTGAACAACATTCTGGTTACGGAGTCCGGAAAGGCCACGTCCAAGAAACAATTTCTGTCGTGACCTTCCTTATCGTAGTACTCAGTCGAAATAAAACAATATCAGTCTTGAAGTCTCGAAGGCAGCCGGTCCGGTGCGCTTTCCTAGTGGCGGTACATGTAACTAAAGCTGCCGCCCCTCTCACGGAGGTCCGCCAGTCGCTGCTCCAGGTCGCTGGAGCCGGTCGACAGGGTCGCGAAGGTCTCGCGGAGCTCAGTGTATCCCGCGTGGTGGTCGTCCCCACCCGCACCCAGGTCGGGATAGTGCGGCTGAGGCTGGGGTTGCGGGTGGGGGGTGGGCTGGGGAGCGGGCTGGGGTATGGGCTGGGGAATAGGGTGGGGAAGGGGTTGAGGAAGGGGCTGGGGTAAGGGTTGAGGAATAGGTTGGGGAACGGGTTGGGGCAGCGGAGCAGGCTGAGGCTGTGGCTGAGGCTGCGGCTGAGGCTGAGGTTCAAAGAGGGTGGGGAAGTACTTGACGTGCGGGAAATCGTTCTTGATGCCGTGCTCCTTGGCCCTGACGTACACGGGCACGGCCACCTTGTAGTGCTTGGCGACAGCCACCGGCACAGCGTACGGCTTCGCCACCTCGTAGGGCACGGGGTGCGCCACGGGCACCTTGACGGCCACCTTGACGGGGTACGGGACTGGCTTCTCGACGGTGTAGTGCACGGGCCGATCGACGGGCACCGGGTACGGCTTGAGCACCGTCACCTCGTAGGGCTTGTCGACGGGCACCTGGACGGGCACCTTGACGGCGTAGGGGACGCGCTTCTCCACCGTGACCGGGTAGGGCTGCGGCACGGCGTACGGCACGGCCTTGGTGACGACCACGCGCTTCACGTACTGGTGCTTGGCCTCGGACGGCTCGGCGTGCACCTGCTCGTCGAGGCCGGCGAGCAGGTCGTCGCGCGCCGCGTAGTGCTGGCTGTGCTCCGTGTGGATGGCGAAGCCGTAGCCGTGCCCGAAGCCCAGGTCGTGCTCCTCGGTCTCGGCCGTCTCCTGGTCCAGGTCGTGCTGCACCTCGGCCGCGTCCTCGGCGGCGCGCGCCGCGGCCGCCAGCCCCGCCAGCAACCAGCACAGCCCCTGGGGAACAATTCAAGGGGTAGGTCCACACAAAAACAATTCGAAAATATAAACAATAACCAATACATTTGGGGAAAAAACATGAAAAAAATCAAGAGATTGACCCAAGAAAAATCAAGAATATAAGAAAAATCAGTGTACGCTCGACGAACACCTCGGAACAATCACGCGTCGTCAGAAACGGGAATGCCGCCGGTCGGTCTCGGTGCAGACGGCCGATGTACCGATCCCACCGGTCGGTCCAGACGCCAGTGAAAGTGGCCCGTAATGAGCCTCCTCGGCGTGATGATGTACTGAGCGATCAATAACAACAACGGCGTGCGAATAAGTCGCTCACCGTCGCAATATCTGGATCGGTTCCCAACGACGCGCGTCGCCGACCGCGAATAGCCACTCGTCGTGCGGCGTCCTGAGATGGTAAGCCTATAGACGGCCGTAAATGAATGTCCGCAAACACGCGAGTCAAGTCGTCGCTCCGCTCGACGCCAGTAGTAAACTCGGCGGCGTTACACGGCCTGTAAGAGCACGAGGCTGTCGAGTTGTCGACACAAACAATAACGGCCAGCCGATGACGGCGCGCCCGACGCACACCACGTCAAACGGCGTGTGTGTAGTCTAAGCAGCACTAACTATGTACGCACGGGTCACACGGCGGGGTCAGCGAGGATGATGATGCTGTGGTAGTGCCCCCGCAGGTTTCTCAAACAACCGTCACGTGGGGAGCGCAATAATTGTGATGACTGCAGCAATTTGAGGCACCTCAAAATATTTGATTTTAAAACCACGCTTTGTGTTGATAGGAATAATGCTTTCAGCAGAGCGCACAAGCGCAATGCACTCAGCAAAATAAAGTGCAATAAAAAGGTACCAAGAATCAAGAACACTTTATTGGGCTGTCCTGTCCAATCCACGCCATTTGTCTCACAGCCGTTGGGCAAAGTTCTGGCCAGTCGAGGCCACACGCTTTGTCAACGTTGCCAAAATGCAACGCCATAAATTACATTTGGAACGAACCCCCACAGGCCTTTGAAAATCCCCTGCGTCACTTCATTAAAAAATTGCGAGCATACAACTAACAGAAAATGTAGACTACAATAACGATTACTTACCGTCAGCCTCATGTCGCCGCTCGTGTGTCCGGGCGGACAGCTAGCTCGGTGTAGCGGCGGCCGTGCCGAGTGTCCAGTGCACCGCCCCGGCCATTGCCTTTTATACGGATACGGGCTTTCTTCTAGTTCCGCCGCGTCCCCTGCCGCGTCCCCAGCCGCGCCCCCTCCCTGTGCTACCCTACCCCGTTTTCCCGCCGCGACCGGCACGCCGGGCCGCCCAGACTTGTGACCGCACTGCTGCGAGTGCACAGCAAGTGCCCTGCTCGCTCGTGGCGTGCGAGAGTGCACCGCTGCTGCTTCCATTTCCATTTTCGTGACTGTTTTCTTGCTGTTACGCCGGGGTAGCCCAGAATTAACTTAGAAAGGGGGGGAGGAGAGGTTGTTTGTGGTTATCAGAGGACAGAAGGGGGGTTTGGCGCTGCAGCGTGCTCTCACGGCGCGGCACGATATCGCAGCTTGCCAAAAGTGGCCAATGGCTAAAGGCCAAAATCTGCGTTTGCGGGGTCACAGACCTGTATAGAGGAGGGGGGGGGGGGTCACATAGCAGCGAGAACCGAAGCAATGACAATAATTAGACCTACGAACCGGAGCGTGCAGGCGAGGCCTGGTGGGGCGTGGCGTGGTGGGGCGTGGCGGGGCGTGGCGATGCGTGGCATAGCACTCACTCTTCTATCACATCCCCCGTTTCCTTCCTGGCCACCGAGCCGTCGCCGCCGCCGCCGTCCCGACTCCAGTCTGACCAGTCGCAAAGTGCCCCCGCGTGGACCGGGCAGCAGCAAAGCCCCCCAGCATCCGATGGCGCGCCACTGGAGCGACAGAGACAGACGGGCCCCGATCTATGTAGTGTGGCGGCGCTGAGCTGCACAGCCATAACCCTCCATGGTGTGGACGGTGACTCTACACACTCTAAAAAATGGTTGTAGGTTTTGCGGGACAATTTTCCATAAAGCATGTCTTAAATTTACAGTTCAGAAGTGTAAAAAAAGCTATATGTGTGAATTATGGAATTTTATACTTAAGCAGTAAAAAATCACATCGCTGAATGTTCGTGAACACTTCTTCACTGGGTGAATTGCGAGAAGTCATTTCATAACATCCAAATATGAACTCTATGTGTGCCCATCGCGCCATCGTCGCGAAATGTACAGCAGGGTTTGGGTGCCGTGCCGCACGCGTGCGATGCGCTCTTTGGCGGCGTCGTAAAAGACTAGCCCAGTTTCACTTGGCGTGCCAATGAAGCACACAAACGCAGACAACACACACGCACACGAGTACTCACGACTCACACACGCAGTGCACGCGCGTGCCGCTGAGAAAGTCTTAAGCGGCCGAACGTTTGTTATATTCTTGTCGGCAAAACAATCGGAAATACCATATCAAAGAGAACAATTTGTGTTTACCTTTTGTGATATAATCGATTTGGACAGAGACGGGCGCGAATGGAAGCTGCTCTGGGGCGTACCGCGTACTACGCGTCTTTGACATCCCCATAGCAGGGTCTGGCCGCGGCCACGCGCGGTCGAATGGGAGGCCTACCGCCCCGGCGGAGACGCAGGTGGGCGAACCCCGCGGCCAGCTGGGGAAGCGCGAAGCGCGCGGCCGTTCGAACTGTTCGGCATAATTATGTAATCACGGGGTAATAAAGTCGGCGAGCGCTTTTGTGCGATACAACCTAACCGCGCCGCCTCGCGCCTCGCCGAACGCCGCCGCCGGCCGGGGAGAAATTAACATGTTTTCCGAAGAGTACATTAATAATTAGATCGGAAAGTGCGCGGCAAGCCTCGGCCTCCTCTTCAGCGCGCGCGCAAGGGCGGGGACCCCCCCGGACCAACCCCGCGGCGGCCGCGGAAAAGTTTGCCGGGCAGAATAAATGGCCTAGGCCTCCAATTCCACACCTCAGCGACCCCCAATCCCGCCGAGCCTGACCTACACAGCGCACAGGGTGACGGAGTAATGAGAATGATAATTTTTTTTTATTTCATAATCTTTAATACTTTTTTCGTATAAAGATTGAATTTTTTCAGGGAAAGTTTGATGAAGACACCCGAGAACGGAACCGGTCGGTTCCCACTCGGCGCCGCCGCCGGCAGCGCCCCGTCGGACCAATCATTAGAACCACGATTCGCACTAAAACGTGTAATCTGTTACGTCACCTATCGCCGTGGTTGTTCTCACAGGCCAAAGGTGTTGCATTCAACCGATTTCAAAAAAGAAAAGAAACAAAAATGAAACGTGTAAATACAGGTGTTCTTGAATGCGGTCAAAGGCACAAGGCGTAAAATTTGTCGTGCCTTTATGTGCGAGAAGCCCCGATCATACGCTATCAAACACAAAACAAACACGTTGCACTGCGCGAGGGAGGATCCGCGCGCGCGCGCGGAGCAGAGGAAGTTTCACATCCTCGCGCAGACTGGTCATCCGACAGATATGATTTAAGTCCCCTGCTGTCTGGCCGGAGGGGCCAGCAGCAGGTCGACCCCTGCTGCACCGCTCACGCTCTCTCTCTCTTTCTCTCTCTCTCTCTCTCTCTCTCTGTCTCCTGCGTCGGGACCACTTTCGAACTAGTGCTACGGCTGGCCGCGCGTCATTAGGCGAGACGCCTGGCGACTCTGACGCAGCCCCTGGATGTGTTTCCTGGAGGAAGCGACTGCATCGGGTCAGCCGGGAGTGGCCGGGCTTGGCGCGGTGGGGTCGTGACGCCCACCGCAGGCCGCCTACACGCATACGCCCGTACATTGTGCGCACAGTCCATTCAACGTGTTTGAAGGTACCGTGCAACCAGCAAGCTACACCCACACACACACGTTTCGTGTGCCTGGTCGTGACGTTTTCATCGAGTCGAAGACGCATGTGTGTACTTTGCTGTGCTCAAAAAAGATTAACACGCAAAAGTAACATATTTTTTCTACAAAATAATTGATTTATTTACACAAGTAGTCAACAAAAATAATAAAATAGTCAACAAAACAATGATGTGTTGGTGATGAAGGTGATGAGGATGAAGGTGATGAAGGGCGGACTAGGCTCAGTAGTGGTGGGAGTCCTCGCTGTAGCTGGAGCTGGCGTGCTCGTACCTCGAGTCGCTGGTGTGGCTGGGGGGTCCGTATGAAGGACCGGAGTGGCCGTAGGACTCCGAGGGGGGTCCGTACGATTCTGATGGAGAACCGTACGACTCGGAGGGAGGTCCGTAAGACTCGGATGGGCTGCTGTAGTGCTCTTCGTGGTGCTGGTGCTCCTTCACGTAGACGGGCACCTTGACGGGCACCTTGTAGGGCTTGGGCACCTCGACGGCAACCTTGTAGGGCTTGGCGATCTCAACGGGGTAGGGGTGGGGAACGGGCACCTTGACGGGAACCTTGACCTCAACGGGGTAGGGCTTCTCGACGGGCACGGGGACAGGTCGCTTGACCTCGACGGTGTAGGGCTTGGGGACCGGGACCTCGTAAGGCCTGTCGACGGGGTAGGGGACGGCCACCTTGACCGGGTACGGCACCTGCTTGGTGATGGTCACGGGCACGGGCTGGGGGATGGAGTAGGGCACGGCCTTGGTCAGCACGAGGGTCTGTGGGCCGTGGCCGTAGTTCTGTCGCAGCGACGCACCTCCAAGCGACAGGGCGGAGAGGCCGTGCAGACCCTGCAGGCCCTGGTAGCTCTGGATGCCCTGGTAGCCCTGGAGGCCCTGAAGTCCCTGGAGGCCGGCGAGGCCGTGGGGAGCAGCCAGCAGGATGGCATGGGTGGCGTGGGCGCCGTTCAGGCCGGACAGCAGGATGGGGGTGCCGTAGCCCTGACCGAGGCCGTGACCGAGGCCGCTCAGCATCAGCACGTTTCCGTGGCCGTAGCCGGCGGAGCCGTGCCCGATGGAGATGGGGATCCCGTAGCCGAGGCCGGCGACGCCCCGCTTGTCGGTCTTCTTGTCCTCGGGGGCGGCGGCAGCCTGCTCGGGCTGCGTCGCCTGGGCCTCGGACTTTGCGGCCTCCTCGGCGGCCAGGGCCGCAGACGCCAGGGCGGCGAGGACCACCACGCACGACTGCAAAACAGAGACGAAGCAGGTTCAAACCATGACGTCCTCCTAGCTGTATCCTCAACCTCATCCCTTTCGTTCCGACAGGCCGGTTAGGTAACGAGTAACGAGTATGACATCAGTGTCGTGCACAGCCGGTCAGCCCCCTCCCCCCTCCTCCTTCCATAACCTACCGCCACTTTAACGGCTCTACAGGTTCACCGTGTCAGCGGGACGCACGCGCCGAAAAACGAGCCCCGAGGCGGAGCTCCGAATAATAAAGTAATATTTTAGTTTCTGTTTTTATTTGAAAGTTACGTATACTTCTTGTACATTATGCAGTTCAACACTTGAACTATGGTAAACCAAATGAACAAATAAGGAAATAAGTGATAACAAGCTTTCACTTTCGAGAAAATCGATCTATGGCAGCATAGTCTATTATTGTACCGCTGTGGGCAAACGCTTTATTGCTGTCGCTGTCGGTGCAACACAAGTACACCCTCTAGGGGAGGTAAGGCTTCCGCCGGTTCATAATCACGTTAATGGTGAGAAATAGACGGCGCCACGTGCTGGGCGGCCACAAGCAGGCCACCGCCGCCGATACGTATCCTCGTTATTACAGAGGTGGCCATTGACACGTGCCCCTATCCCCCATCCCACCACCCAGCAGCGGCGCCGCCGCAGCCACAGCATAGCGACCGACCGCAACGCGTTTTGGGTCGGTTTACGAAATGAGGGGGACCGGAAGTAGCGGGACCGACTCGTGTGGCATAGTGACTCGTCCCGCCCCGTTCTGAGTATTGCAGTCTATTGGTGGTCGAGAGGACTAGTCCCGCCTGATTTGGCAACTTCCGGTTTAGATCTCAACTCGAGCTACCAGTCGCCAGCAATATTTTAATGTTTTGTCTGCATATGGTTGTAGGCAAAACACTTGACATATTGAGGACTTTAGCCGAGTTCAGGGCCGGTATGTTTGCAAGACATTTACAAAACAAAAAACACAGCTCGATTTTATCGTAAACAGAAGAGGACCATGTCTTAAATATCTGTACGACCACGACCTGTCAAGACTTTACTTTCCGGGCCCACACCCACGCAATGTTTTCGAAACACATTAAAAATTGTGAGTAGGATAAACACAGGAGACATGCGATCCGCCTACTTTACTCTATTTCGCATCCGATTTTAAAATTTCCTAATTCCCCCCCCCCCAGAAAAAAAAGGATAACTCAAACTAGCCTGCACCTGCTTCTGCACATTACGATGGAGAGGTGCACATCATAGCCGATATTCTGGCCCCGGAAAATGTAAAACTCCAAATACGCAAGCAGCTGCCACCGCCGCCATGCTGCTGTACGTTCCCAGCGGAAATACAAACACTGAACAAATCCGACGGTTGCGCTATCAGTTTGCATACCCCAGGGAGAAAAGCGGAAAGGTCACAAGGATGGGGCACACATTTGCAGGACCCGATGCGCCGCAGTTAGCTCACTCCCTCTTCCCCTTTCCCCATATTATTGAGAGGCTTGACAATCCCCCTCCCTCTTCTCCTCTCTCACACACACACCTACACGGTTTGGCTTTAGGCCTGGACCCCCCCCCCTCCCCCCTCTCTCTCACGCACACGACAAACAGGGATGCACACCTGCCAATAATGCAGAACCATTAGGCCATTAGTCACCCGCCCGATAATGGCCGGGAGAGTTTACCCGGCTGCCGCATCTCCGCACTTCCCGCCAAAAATGAGCAGCTTGAAATTTATGAGCAGGTCACATTATTGTACGGCTACCAAGATTATTTCAGATCCAAATGAAATCTTCGTGTTTCTGGATTTTTTGAGAAAAAAGTTAAGGAAAATAACAAAAACTGTTGTGAGTGAAGCTCTCTGAAATTCACTCAATCTTTAAAACAGGATTACAACATAAAAAAGACGACAAACGTTTTCTGACAGCAAAGCAAATATCCAAAAACGTCCGAATCTTCCTGTGATCTTCCGCGACACTGTTGTTGTTTCACTGCATACTATATCCACCACGAAGCGCGTTGCGTTTAATCCGTTTTCTTCCGGCGGGCCAATAGATAATCCAGTGGGGCACTATTCGCACAAAACACACGCACTGAACACACACACACACACACTCACCAGGGTCTTCATCGCGCTCAGTCGAAATAAAAGGGGGGGATACTACACGAGTGGAGGCTGCGGACGCAGTGATGCCGCGGACAGGGGGCTGCGACTCTTATAAGCGAGAGGAAGTGCGGTGGCGCCGCGGGGGGCGGCGGGGGCCACAGGGGGACCGCCGGGAGGACCGCGAGGCACAGTCTCCTCCCCGCCATACGCCGCCGGCCCCCACCACCACCACCGGGGCTACCACCGCACCGCCCGCATGCACAGCTGATGCATGTACCGGTACCGGCCTACTGCCAAACCCTTTTGCAGAACGGCCTGCTGGCGGGGGCGGGGGTGGAGAGGCGTTGCCGCGCTTGGCTCATCCCATGTACGTACCGACACCGCCCCACCGATCCCGGCCGGTGCCATTCTCCAGATCGGTACTAGAAAGCATTTATTGTGATCAAATATCGGCGTCGCAAAACTCATCACAAGTACACACTAAATGATAGATGAGAAAGGACAACTTTGTTTCCAGTCGGTACGCGCTCTTAAGCATGTGCGCATCTAAATCGGGTGCCCTCTGCAAACCAAAGTGTCGTGCAATATCACAGTTTAAACTGCTTTTGTGATACCATTTGTGAATGCAGTTATAAGAGTAGGGCACTATTCCACGAT